TAACATTGTATTGAACGGCTGGTATAGTTAATGTTGAGCTGTAGTTACTTATTGAAACTTTTGTAACATTTGTATCAAAATTTTCTGTTAGCCATAAAACAATTATTTTTCCATTAAAACTACTTAGCATGGTAAAATTTTGAGTTGTTTTGTTGACAGTTAAAGTTACTTTATTGTTTGATTTATTATAATCCAATTTTACTAAAATATTATTGTTTGTTGATAAATATTTAGTTAGGGTAAAACTCCTATTTCTCCAATGACTAAAAACAATACATAAAGTAGATTTCGAAGAATGTGAAGGAGAAAAAGTAACATCATAACCATTAACATGTAATCCTCTATATTCTATTTCACTTACGTTTTTATTTGGTGGTAGTGTAATATTAGGTTTTAAAGAATTAATAATAACTCCAGATGAGCCTCTATTTATTCCATAACTATCCGCATCAGCAAAGTCATAGAATTCACTAAAGTATAATCTATACAAAGCATTTTTAGTAAAAGGAGCTAGTTCTTTTACTAATGCAACTGTTGCAGCACTGTTATCACTGTTTCGGTCAAGTTTAATATTTTTAATTTCTTTTTGATTTTCATTAATATCAACGTTGTACACTACTTCTGTTGGTTTGATGTCAAATGCTGTGTGATAGTCGTAAACTTTATCTGGATCAATGTTACTAAACGTTCCCATAATACCATAAGTAATTATATAAACACCTGTAAAAAATTTTGGATACTTAGAGAGGTCACTTCCTACTTGAGGAATATTAACCAAAATGTGAAGAAAAAACTTATTACCAGATGACAACTTTTTAAAATTAACTATTATTTTTTATAAAATAACTAAGATAGTACGCGCGCTCTGATTGGCCGAGAGCAGTGTTTGCATGAGAGTATGTAAACATGGTTGTGGCGTCAAGTTGTTTGGCTTTTCGCGCGCTAATCACGCAAGCACCAAATTTGAAAAAGTTTTCGAGTTCAAAACTCGACAAGTTTACTTTATTTACCCATTTCTTCGTCGGCTGAAACATGGAAAATCGTTACAAAGAAGGTGAGTCAATTTTTCTTCGCTTAAGCTGACATTTTAAGCGAGAAAACTCCGTATTTTGCAAAGCATCTTTTTGCAAAACAAGAACTCATTACGCGTGCAAGACTTCGTGGACAAGATTTTGCGACTGGTAAGAATTTCTCTTTTAATCA